CTGCCATGGTATTTGTTCCGGGCCAGTGCTGAGACCACTCCAGGGCCCGGCGAGAACAGAGTACCCACCAGCTCCAGACGCACCAGCATGAAACTCTGTTCCAAACTACAGGGCAATTATGGACTCCTGAGGCCTGCGAACGGCCTGAGATAAACTTCCACTGCTCAGGTTTCCCTCACGCTCAGGAAAGGAGCTTGGCTGCCAAATCCCAGGGGTCACAGGCACGCCAAGTGCTTCCTTCTCAGCGCCCGAGGCCATCTTTTATTATGGAAAATGTGAAGCATCGTAGTAAGTAAACACTTGGGTAAGTAAATGATTCAACCAGATAGTAAGGACAGAGTACACAAGTCTGTGATTGAGAAGGTATGTCACGCCACAAAGCTGGAAATACGTCCTGGTGGCATGTTATAGGATGGGCCACTGTACAGTAAATCTTGGCGCAAATGAATCAAGAGGGCTTTTGTATTACTCTGGAAGTCGGGAAGTTTCACAGATCTCTCTCCAAGCTTTCACAGCAATCTTTTGGAACTGCATGGGAGGCCTCTGTCTTTCATTGTGTCACTCACAGGGAATTACTTAACGGACAGGGAACCACAGTGGTTAAGAGTGGACATTTTACAGTCAGGTGCTTTGGGCGTGAGTTCTACCGCTTATTAGTCTTGGGCTCTTGAACAACTTGTTCAAGATCTGTGAGCTTTCTTTCTTCAGTCTGTGAAAGAGAAATAAGAATAGTAGCTTATGGAGTTATTGTGAGAATTAAATGAGATACTGCAAGTAAAACATACAATTCTGTTTTGTTTTTTCAAAAAGGTGTTCCGTAAATGGCAGTGTTTGATAAACATGAGTTACAGCTGAGTTGGTTCCTCGGCTCTTCTCCTGTTGGGTCTCAGCTCTAGCTACGGCCTTCTTCCCAGCAGTCAGCTCCCTGGGGGCCCCAGCAGCTCACGGTCAAGCCACCTCATTTACTTCCCTGTGCTGATATCCTGGGAGTCCGTGGATGGCCAAGTGAGCGGTACACTCAAGCAGCTGTGAAGTCAGAGCACACTGAAGTCACTCTGGCCTGAAGTGGAAAGTGAAGGCCTGGTGTAAGAAATGGAACTTTTAAAGTAAATCAGTTATTTTCTTTATATCTGACCCCAATCCCAAATGTTGGGGGGGACTTTTAAGCACATAATCAGTGGTGGAAATAAACAGTGGAAGGAGTCAGAGGGAGGAGAGAATACAGACAAGGGAAAAGCAAGGCCAGTCATAAGGTTTCACCTAATCACATCCCAGACAATCTTGGGCTAGATATGGGCAAATCTGGCTGTAATAGCCCTGTGACGAAAACAAAGAAGGGAAATATGATCAGTTGCATGTTCTATGCCAGCCACTGTTCTAAGCACTTTAGATGGACTAACTCACATAATTAACAGCACCTCTATGAATTAGTGCTTTGTTGTGGCTGTTTTCACAGATGGGAAACTGAGGCTCTGAAGAGTTAAACAAGTGGCCCAGTGCTCACTGTGGCAGCACTGAAATTTGAATTCTGGTTGCCCGGTTCACAGCTCAGGCTCTTGAGTACTAAGCAATGCAATTTTGATAAACAACATAAAACAAATGAGAGCAAACCAGCAGTTCAGAGGAAGCATTTCCTAACACTGAGATCTGAGCCCTCATTAAGACAAAACAATTTGACAAAGTACACCAGTTTCCAGATTGAAGGAGTTCCCAGGTCAAATAAATTTTTTTTTTTAAATATGATGTACGGCTGACCACCTCTTTTTGTCTGTGTGTGCCAAGTAAGAACCTTGAAACAACAACTACCAGGAATTGTCGACATCATGAAATAAATGACACATAAGTACCAAATAAACAGAGAGAGCATAATCTAAACATAGAGGATCTTGTTTTACAATTTTGAATAAATTCAGCTTCGTGGAAAATGTACACAGCCCTTGTCTTTCTCATTTGCCTCTGACAGGTGAAGAACAGTCAGAAAGTATCAATGGTGCATAAACCTGCATTTGAGAACCACTAACAACCTCCCTTTGGAGTCTCTGCGACTTTAGAATAGCACGGACCCAAAAGCAGAATGGAGACTCTATCCTTCTTTGGGCTGGATCCCAGGAAGGTCTCAAAATTAAGTCTCTGAAGAAGCAGAAGATATGGTCACACCATAAAACACAGAAGGGCTGTGGGCAGCAGCCAGATTCGGCCGACTCAGTCAGGATTCTCACCCATGACACATGCAGCGCTCACCAGCTGCAGCACATCGCTGCACAGGACACACTCCCGTAAGGCTATGATACAGCCTGGAGTAAAACTGCATACTACATGTTTTCAAAGAATATAATATGCTCAAGTAAAATATAAAATGAACACCAGGAACATTATTAGATTTTCCTGATGCTAATGCAATAGCGGCAATTTCCTATTTTGTTCTGTAGAGAATTTGAGTTGCTTCTAAATTTATGCTGAAACCCACTGGATGCTTTCCGAGGCTGCAGCCAGCAGCTCCACTTGTTTGGGGAGTTGTATTTACAATACCTACTGTTCCTATATGTCCATTAGAATGCAATTATCCTGCTTGGGGAAAAAATAAAGGTCACTGGGTTAATGGAGCTCACCTTTCTTTTTCAGCTCATAAATAATAAATAAAATATAATATTTAAAAAGAAAGCCTCATCCTGCATATCACTGTATTTCTGATGCCTTTTTCACAGGACGTCTGAGTACATGGCACTTACTATGGCCACAGTCATTGCAGTTCATCAAGTTCCTACTGCTTCAGTCAAGAAGTACACAGCACGTGTCTATTACATTGATAGTCGTAAGTACTCAAATGCTCAAGCAAGTTCCTATGACATTTTCAAAGTAGACTGCAGTATATCTACTCTGACTTTAAGGAGCAACTCACAAAATTATTTATCCTGGCAAATACACAGAAAATCTCATGAGCTTCGTCGAAGGAGTGACAAAGATAGGCATTTTAAAAATTCTGAACAAATACAGATTCAAGCACTTTCCTTTGCTGCAGAATGGCTTACCAACAGTACTTGTAAGGAGACCGTAGACAGTACTCGTGACCACGCCAAAAATGATAAATATTTCTAGGCAAGATTCTGCTGCCGCTAGTTTCCCTAGTGAGAAAACAAAGACTTTCCTGCCAGCTAAATAGCTGAACAGGGCTCTCAGCCCAAAAGAACCTAATCGATGTTTTCACTTCAGGCTTCCCAAGGGAACAACTAAGCCATCGCTCCAGTGCCTGGCACAGCAAGACGTGTACGGCAGAACAGGAACACATGGCCTAAGCAGCTCAGAAAGCCATTGGTCCAGAACCTTTAGAGCAGCTGCTGTTATAGCAGCCTCACCCTGAAAATAAGGCTACGGGTCTCAAGAGATTTATCTAAGAAATATTTTTAAAATAAAAAGGGAATGATAGTACACCCCTGAGCCTGCTATAAGGACTGTTAAACACTGCGAATCACTCCCCCAAAATAATGAAAATGAAAAACTCCCTTTCCACTTGACGCAGGTTTGTGTGACAAAATGCACTGCGGCTGCCACACACGGCCACACACCGCTGCGCCTCCTCATTAGAAATTTCAGCAGCAGCCCAGCAAGGCCCTGGGAACAGGCGTTTTAACTGAATTGTAAACCTAGCAAGGAACCAGACAACTGTCTTCCTAAATAACACAGCATTGATACAATTTTTTTTCAAAAATGTATTTGAAGGGCATGTATCTATCATCAGCAGCACATCATTATTTGTTTTTATTATTATTCTTAACAGCAACAAAAGTAATAACTACCATTCATTGAGTGTTGTTCTGCCAGGCTCTGATCTAACAGTTTTATGTGGATTATCTAACTTAATCCTTGAAAAAAAATCCTATGGTCCCTGGCTGGTTTGGCTCAGTGGTTTGAGTGTAGGCCCTTGGACCAATGAGTCGCGGGTTCAATTCTGGTCAAGGGCATGTACCTTGGCTGCAGTTTGTCCCCAGCCCTGGTCAGGTCATGCGGGAAGCAACCAATTGATGTGGCTCTATCACATCGATGTTTCACTCTGTCACTCCCTCGCCCTCCCTCCCTCCCACTCTATCTAATAATAAACAGAAAAATATCAGATGAGGAATAAAAAAAAAAAAGCATGCCACTTTTTCATAAGGATTATTTTGAGCTAAAGGCACTTAAAAAACAGTGTGTGCAAGAAGAGCATTCTAATCTCCCCTTTTCTTCCTGAAAACAGGAGATTAAAACTCCCATGTGGCCCAGTCAGTGTGACTCGGTGGACTGGGCATTGTCCCATGGACTGAGAGGTCCTGGTTTGATTCCTGGTCAGAGCACACGCCTGCGCTGCAGGCTTGATCCCCAGTGGGGAACATGCAGTGGGCAGCCTATCGATGTTCCTCTCTCATCGTTTCCATCTCTTTCTCCCTTCCTCTCTCTCTCTCTAAAAAAATCAATAAACATATATATATATATTTAATTATAAACAACAATAACAACAAAAAACTCCCATGTGAAAGATGCCCTCCCTGTACCAGCAGAACAGAAACTCTCTGGAGAAAAGTCAAAGCCAAGAGAATTCTATAAAAACAGACCTTGTTAAAATAATTCTTATCTTTCTTTAGCCTCCTAATATATTTTATTTACTTTTCCACAATCACCTCTCTTAATTTCTATGAAGGCTCCTGTGTCACATAAAATGTATCTAGATTTGTAAGCTGTTTTCCTGTTAATCTGTTTTATGTCAGTTTAATTCCCAAGAACAGCCAAAACACCCTAAGAGGGTGGAGGGAAAATTCTGCCTCCCCTGTATCTGTGATGATTTGTACCTAATAAAGGCTACGTCAGCACAAAGCATTAAGATCTAACACTATTTAAATACAGACACGTATTTTCCTTAGTATTCATTCTCATTGTAAATATTTTTGGCTCTGAAATTTATCTGGGATCCCCCAAAGAAGTTCTCCTTAAAGCATTAGTCATTTTAATGAATATCATCACATACTTACTTCTTTGCTTATTACAAGAGCTTTTACATCTGTTTTACAAAATATCGAAGCAGGCCGATTGGTGTTAGTTAAAAGGCAGGTTTCCTGAAAAATAAAAATAAATGGATTTCTTCTGGATTATTTCAGCTCTGACATTATCATTACAATGAAACCCTGGGGCCATATGAAATTATAAGCATGCATCATTTTAAACAAATAATTTAAAAAAATAAATCTTGAGCTTATAGAATTGATAAATAAGAACTACCCTGGTCTTTCACATAATCTATCAGTTCCAGCAGCATTAAGATGTATGGACTACTTTATAAAAACAAAATGCTAGGTTCACAAGTCTTTATTCCAGAATACTTGATGTATAAAACAACAATATGATCTGCAAATACACACAATGCTATACTCTAACTCCATGCAACATTCATTACTAAGAAAAAAAGGTGCTTTGTCCTAAAGATGGCAAACTTGGAGATGATGTGACCTAGATCCATGATACTCAATGGGGGAGGGGAGGCAGTGTTAGTATAACCATATACAAAATTATAACACTTTTTTATTATCAGAATAATGAAAAAGATGTAGCAATAAAGCATCAAGGTGAGAGTATCTTATTGAAGAGAGAGTGACATGACTTTAAAAATCTCCTTCTGCTTGAGCCAGGACATCCATCTCATCCAGCCCTTGGATATCAGCAGAGTTCTTGGGCTGTCAGAGTTGGACCAGGCCTTACACCAGCTATCCCACTGGTTATCCTTGGGACTTGGGCTGAATTACACCAGTGCCTTTCCTGGTTCCCAGCTTGCACACAGCAGGTTGTGGGATTTCTCTGCTTCCATTATAGCATGAGCCAATTCCTACAATAAATCTCCTCTTATATATGTCTGTATATATCCTATTGGTTCTGTTTCCCCGGAGAACCCTATATGGATTTTGGTTGAGAAATACCAGTTCATATGATCTCCGGGTTTCTTCCCTGTAGTGGAAAAATCGGTGGCTCCATTTGATCTGCACACAGTTGAGGTAGCACAGCAGAGGGAGCAGAGCACTGAATCCGGGATTCTCCTCCCATTTCTGCCACTAACCAGCTGTGTCCAGATGAGCAATTCAGTTCACTGTCCTGGTTCTCCATTCACTAAGTGTCAGTGAGAGGTTTGTTGAGCTGACCTCCGAGGCTCCATCTAACTCTAAGCCACGATCCTGGGGAAGATCTTGTTCACAAAGGGCCATAAGGTTCTAAGAGTGCTTCCGAAGTGCCTCCAGCACTAAAACCTTCAGCCAGTCACAGGCTGGCCAATGCCTTAACCATCTATCAAGAAATGTTTGACCCACAAATGATACATTATTAACGATGGGAATGCCGTGGAAAAATAAGGTTTGCGTTTTTTTAAAATCCTTACCTGAGGACATTTTTGCATTTATCTTTAGATAGAGCGGGAGGGAGAGAGAGAAAGAAACATTGATGTGAGAAAGACACATCTAGCGGTTGCCACCCACACAACCCCAACCAGGGCGGGGACAAACTGCAACCAAGGCATGTGCCCTTAGCAGGAACTGAACCCAGGTCTCTCTGGTCCATAGGCTAATGCTCTAACCACTGAGCCAAACCAGCCAGGGCGGTTTGCTTTTTATTGAAAATTGTTAGGAATACATCTTTCTCCTTTGCCCTTCTCATTGGATTTGTTACCAATAAAATAACTTGAATCCATCGCACAATTGGTATCCCCACAGTCAGTGCCTTGGTCCAGAGTCGGCTCATCAATCTCCCACCTGTTTCCAATTCCAGGTTGTCCTTTCCGCTAACATAGCCGCACCTGTTAACATTTAGATAGATGACTCATCACACCAGTCATCTATCTAAATGTTAATCTGATTCATCTTTCTCTGACTTAAAAACTCTCAATGAGCTCTACTACCTGTAAAATTAAGTCCAAACTCTTCATCATTGTTTTTAATACCATATATGACCTCAGCTGACATTTCCAAAGTGAACACCAACATCTGTCCTCACCTCCCACTTAGGGACTTTTGGATCTGAGGATCTCCAAATCCAATCTGCCCTCAACTAAATATACAAATGAAGCAAGTTGTATTCCTACACACAAGCTGCTTTTTTGCCCTAAATCTTATCCCTTTTGCATAAAGTCTTTTGCAAGCATAGACTTTCTTTAAAACATAAAAAAGATCTTGAATCTGTGAGTATTTCAGTACACTTTTTATTAAATACCACACTGCCTCCAAAGCTAAATGGTTTATAACTCATTCATTTAACTAGTTGATCATTCATATAACAATCACTTATGACTCTTGTGCATCCTGTATGTTGACAAACTATATATCAGGCTACATGTTGGCTCAACACTGTTAAGGGAAAATATATTTTTTATAAGCATTTCAATTACTAAAATATTTAATACTTGAGAACAACGCTACAGCATACTATGTTATTTTAATACAATGACACAGTTTAAAATTTTTTAAATAAAAATAAGAGACTGCGAAGTTAAGATAATATTTACCCCTATGAAGTCACCTTCTTCAACCTCACTTAAAATTTTAGAGTTGGTATTTTTGTTCATCCTTGTATTACTTGATGTGACCTTTAAATGTCCAGCAAGAATCAAGTAGCATTCAAGTGGTACATGTCCTTGTCTTAGAAGCATACTTTCAGCTTCAAATCTGGGGAGAAAGAATATTAAAAACATTTCTTCTGCAAAATGGCAAGTTTGAAGTCATTGGTGGCAAACAAAATCCTGTCATCTTCATCTGTAAAGAATTTTACTTTTGTTAAGAATTAATTACCTTCTTCCGGTATAGACCTTGAAGGCAAGGACTGTAGTCAACCTGTCCACTGCTGTAGTGTTGGTGCCTAGAATGGCGCTTGGCTCAGAAACCAGGCAAAGAATGGATATTGAGTGCACTTATGTATAGGCAGGAGGTATTGCACAATCACAGAACAGAAGGTCTCCATACATGAATTCCTTAGATAAGCCCTGCTATTTCCCAAAATATAGGTATTTTTAAAAACACTACTGCTGAATTCATGCTGTTAGGCAATATTTTTGGCTTTCTGGGAGACATAAATTTGGTGTTGATTTGCATTCCTCTTTTCAAGGCTTTTAAAAAGTACAGTAAGTCCTCACTTAAAGTTATCAAAAGGTTTTTGGACCTGCAGCAAAGCAACTTATAACAAAACCACCTTCACCATAGGCTAACTGATATAAACAAGAGTTCCTATGGCCTCTCATCAATGTGATAACAAAGGACACCGAGCAAAACAACATTCTTTGAGAACCTGCTGTATTATATTCAGGTACAGTTTTGTAAATCTGCTACTTTTCCCCATTTGTAGGCATTGAGCCAGAGAATGGTAATTTGCTCACCCCAAGTTTGTAGAAACAACCCCATCCCTGGTAGCAATGCATGGTAAACTTTAATAAACATTTAAAAATCACCTGGGGCATTTGATAAAAGATCAAGACTCCTTTCTACCTTGGAAATTCTGATTTGGTAGATCTAGGGTGGAGCCCAGGAATCTCTATTCTTAAAAGATTCTCAGATTTTTTTTTAATAAGAACCACACTTTGCAAAAGACGGTATTTAAAGCTAAGAACAAACAGTATTTATTTTATTTTTTCTTATATGAGTAATTTTTGTGAAGACTGTAACAGGACATGTTCTATGAAATATTGGGAAGTTTGAATAATTTTAGAGTTTCAGTTAATAATTATACTACCCAGAATTCTTTCTTCCTAAATGAGTAGCAGTTATAATATCTATATTCCAAATTAGGCAGTTGTCATTAGAGAGAATGTTAGTGAAAAAGATGACAGTGTTATAGATTAAAGACACTCCCATTCCTGTGTTATCGGTTAGAAGGCCTGAATTCCGGCACTTGACCTGCTATGAATCAATTAAATGATCTTGAAAAAAACCGCCTAATTTCCACTTCCAATTTTTTATTTATTAAATGGGAATAAACCTATACCTACCACATATTTCATAATAATGTTTTAGGGGGGGAATAGGGAATATATTTAAATTGTTCAAAAGGAAGATATTTTATAAATAAAGTACAGGAATTTTTCTGCTTCAAGAAGTTTGACAGTGTGGAGACTTAGAAGCAGCACAACTCCCGCCAAAATAACTATACAAAGTAATAAGTAAGTCTGCCCCCGTTCCATGGATGTTCATATGACAGAAGACATGAAACTTGAGTCGAAGACTTATGAGTCGAAGCAAAGGAAGTAACAGGAGTATCAGCCGGGTTCACCGTCCCCAAGCTCCCAGGGTAATGTGAGGGCCCAGTGGAGCCTGCGTATGCAGTGGGGTGACTCGCAGGGGGGACCAGAGCTTAGTGAATCCACGGCTTTTACAATAAGCACCAAGCAAGCTGTTTGTCTGGAGGGAAGCCTGCAGGTATGGTGCAAAAACTGCAATGCATCATCTTCTCAGGATTCTCAGTTGCATGAATAATCCTGATAAATGGCCCAGGGAAAGGCACAGTCAAAGCCTTGGTTAGGATTTTGGCACATTCAGCAAGACATGTTGGAAGGCAAAAGGCTCTTTACAGACTGTATCTCACTATACTAGGTTTATTAATGCAAATGAGTAGAATTTAAAATAAGGTCCTACGGTTACTTAAAGAAGTATAATTCCAGTTCCAAAGGAAGAATATGCAAAAAGGAAATTTAACAATACTATCTTCATTGCCTTTGGGAAGAGGATCACAAGCTTAAAATGTGATGACTCTGAGTCCTGGCTGGTTTAGCTCCATGGTTAGTGTCAGCCTGCAGACCAAAGGGTCATGGGTTCAATTTCTGGTCAAGAGCATGTATCAGCATTGCAGGTTCAATCTGTGGCCCTGGTCAGGGTTGTGCGAGAGGCAACCAATCAATGTGTATCTCTCACATCAATGTTTTTCTCTCTCTCCCTCTCCCTCCTATCTAGAAAATCAATGGAAAAATATCTTTGGGTAAGGATAAAAACAATATAAAAAAAAATGTGATGACTCCTGACTTTCCACTATTTCTGTTCATAGATACCAATTTTTCAAAACTACTTCTTTAACTCTGTGGACTAAAAAATTATTAATCTGAAGTAACTGCTGCATCACAGAAATATCAAGATAATGGTTGGTTTCTATGAATTAAGAATAGGACAACAGTCAATAGGACCATGAGGGAATCAGAAAGTGAGGGCAAGAGTAAGTATGTGATGGAAAAGGGAAGGAGGAGAAGCATGGGGAGAAGTTACAGAGGGAAGAGATGGATGACAGGTGCTATAATGGAAAAAAGGCTGGTATTCAAGACAGTCAGATTTAATGCATTACAGAAAGAGCAGGATGATTCCACATTCTTTCTTTCCTCTATATTGTGAAAGCAGATAAGGGCCAGTCATTCGCAGCCAGGTTTTCAAGTGCATCATTTGGCTGCCAGATGCCCATTATACTAATTGGATCAACAGCCTCCTCTATAACTCATTGACACAAGGATTCCAGGGCTACCCATTTCTTTTGCAGCATTAAAATTTAAGAATACCACCCATACAATAAACCATAAAATATTCACATGAGCCTGTACTCTACTTTTGTATTAAATTGCAACTCCAGGACAATTCTTCAATAGCCTACTTGAGTGATGTGAAGATATGCCAATACCAAATAGGCTTCTCCTGCTTAAACATTTAATTTTATACTTCCGGGGCACTTAAAACTCAGTTTGATTAAAATCATATTCCTTAAGAACTTTTTTCTTTTTAAGCCTATAGATGCAATTGCTCCAACCTAACAAATGCAGAAATCAGAGTATTTTATTAAGAATAGAAAAGCAAGATTTAATACCATCACATTCAGACATTAAAATGTCTACATTTATGTATATATTTGTGTGTGTGTATATATATGTATGAATATATATATATGTGTGAGTGTGTGTATATATATATGGAGAGCCTATGCACATTATTAATTGCTATAGAAACATTGATTCATTTTTGTTTTTTTATTCTCCAAGTAAAAGGATAAATATGAATAAATAATATTCATTCTTCATTGAGTAAACTGGTGCTTAATGAAAGTAACTCTCCATTAAAACTTATAAATATCAATGATTTTTAAAGTGAGACTTCATGCTAAGGCTACATTAGTTAACTTTTTCCAAGAAAGAATTGTATACATGATGGATCTTATATTAAACATGGTTATGGGTTCAGACAACAGGATCCATTCTGATTGGTTTAAGAAAGAATGGATTTACTATAGGTATTAGATAGCTTATAGAATCTTTGGAAAGGTTAGTGAAATAGTTTATAGGCCAAATTTCCAAGAAAAACTCTGGTGAAGATGCTGGGCAGACCCTAGAACCACACTGTCTCCATCACAGTCAGGAAACTGGGACCACCATGTCTGAACAAAAATAACGTGGTCTTTGCCAATACCTGTACCAGCCAAATGGATGGCCCATGTTCGACCTTTCCCCCCAAATATATTAACATCACCTCAAATGTCATGAGAAGATATCTGTCAGAATCTAAATCATATATCTATGTCCCAAAAGAAAAGGGAAGCAAGAAAAGGTAGGTTTTTGTGTTGTTTTGTTTGTATTCTCATTAAGATGGTAGGGTTTACATTAGGAAGCACTATAAAAATATAAGCTTTGGCCCTGGCCAGTTTTGCTCAGTGGTTAGACTGTTGGCCTGCAAACCAGTGAGTTGCAGGTTTGATTCTGGTCAAAAGCATGTACTTTGGTTGCAGTTTGTTCCTGGCCCCGATCGGGTTGTGCAGGAGGCAACCAATCAATGTGTTCCTCCCACATCAATATTTCTCTTTCTCCCTCCCTCCCACTCAATCTGATGATAAATAGAAAAATACCCTCGGGTGAGGATTAAAAAAAAAAAAAGCTTTGTTCAAAAGATTCTGGGCAACCCCCAGTTGCAAATATCAACTCAGACCTCTATCATAAAATTTAGGGTATTTTACCTAATACATTTTGCATGTTTTCCTCTTTCTAGATAAATAAGTGTACTGTGACAGCAGTCCATTTTTTATTATTTTGGCATTTTGCTCATAATAAGTCTTGGTCTTCATCCTATTTGCAATTCTAGCTTAGTTCAGGTTTGGTTTGAAAATTCATGATTACACTACAGAGTACAAAGCAAAAACCCCAAACTATTACATACACCTTCTGGTCAATATTCAGTGTCTACCATGTTTTGTTGTTGTTGTTGTTTTAAATATGTTTTTATTGATTTTTGTAGAGAAAGAGGAAGGGAGAGAGAGAGAGAAAAAAAAAACAACATTGATGTGACAGAGAAACATCAGTCGGATGCCTTCTGCACGCCCCCTACTGGGGATTGAGCCCAAAACCCAGGCATGTGCCCAGGACCTCTCAGTCTATGGGATGACACTCAATCCACTGAGCTACACCGGCTGGGCGTGATATGTGTTTTGTCTTTGAAGTTTGGTTGTACTCTTCTCACCATCTGCCTTTCTTAGGGGACTGCCAGGACCCAATGGAATATTTTTGTGTCACTTACTCTTGATAGATTGCAGCCTGGCAAAGTTGGAGCTGTATTTCCTTTGGCAAACTGTGAAATGACCTATTCTTCTTTAGATATAGTTGAATCTTTAAAAGAAAAAGAAAAAAAGAATGGCTTAGAAAAG